GAAAAGAATAGCATCAACATTCGACGCACATGATTTGTATGTTTTGTTTCCGTGAATGCGTGGCTTGAAATTTCAAATAAACCAACATGTCGACATACATGCCACAAATTTAACGTTTCCCGTATACTTCCCCGCCTTAAGGGCGGGGAAGAATAAATGTGTCTCTAATTTTTCTCTCTGTTATAGTATGCAGGTAAACCTCTGGTGTTAGACAATATTTAAAGGTTTTATAGACGTCGTAGCGTGTACTGTTATCTAGTGACGACCTCCAGTTTTGAGTAAACATATCAATTGCTACCTGCTTAAAAGAGCTAAGAAAATACATTTTGTCTCCAACGCTTTAATTTAGCCAAACATATCCAAATCCGTGAGAGAAGAGTAAATGCTTAATGTTTGATGCCCAGGTTACGTAACCAACACTATCACGATAGACAAGCATTTCGTAGCATTTTCTTGGGATTCGTTCCCGCGACATCTCTGTTATTTTGAGCCAGTATCTGAGTAAACGTAAATATGAACAAATATATAACGGGTATCTACCACATTCGCCATAGACCATATGATTTGGAGCTGATTTATAAACATTTAGAAATCTTTTACATGCAGTTAAGTGTACCTTTTCAATATTGTAATAGGTTTCAAAACCCCAGACCTCTGATCCATATAATAAGATTGGTTGAACTTGAGCATCAAACATTTTGAAAAAAATAGTAGGTGAGATAACACGCAATTTATCTAGAACGACAAATAGATTTATTAGGGCCTTTTTTGCTCGTAGGGCGAGATCGTTAACTAGATGTTTAAGATTAAGGTTAAACGGTAAAACAACACCGAGGTATTTATACATGTTTGTAACATTCTTTTTTCTTTTCTTTCAGTAACCGCGCATCCCTGTGTCTTTGAGATCTTTCAGCTGTTGTCGTTGGCGTCTGGTCAAATCGCTTGACACTCCATACCCAGCGTCCTTCAGGACTCACTCACTCACTCACTCACTCAGGTAGTGACATGTTCAACAGGACCTGCCAAGTCCACGTTCTGCAACATGTTCCTATAACTGAACAACTTGAATGAGATGGTGTTTGTATAAGAGAATGAAACTATTGAATTTGCACATTCTAAACGGTCGATGTGAAACTGACAAAGAAAAAGGCGATTATACATTTGTTGGAGATAGTGGATGCAGTGTAATTGATTATGTCATTGGGTCATGCTGGTTATTTGAGAAAGTTCTGTCTTTTAAAATTATTTCAAGAAGTGAATCAGAACATCTCCCATAGCATTTAATCTATACTCAACAACCAAAGTTCCTGTGACACCAATATTTTAGTGTATTTTTCAAACAAGTAAAGTTTGGTTTTCAATATTGTAGTACATGTATGGAATCAAGTCACAAAAACGCAACTGCTACAGAAAAGCATGCATTCCAAGCAAAAGTTTACTTTTATGCAAGCCCCATGCATTTCACTACCCAAGAATTGGTATAAAAACATGTGCGTTAACGGGATTCCATATGCATTGTTTAGCATCGTGCTGACACCAACCACTCAGAAAAACAACAAAATTACTCAATCATTCAACATTACGAAATGCCACGCCTGTCCGAAAATGAGCGTCTGCGAGCCATTGGTATGCTTGAAGCATGATCGAGTCAACGTGATGTTGCGATACAATTTAACGTCCACAGAAACACCATCTGGTGTTTATGGCAACGTTGGCAACATTGTGTCATGGAAGAAGATCGGCTCGGCGGCGGCAGTGTTATGGTATGGGATGGGATAACAGACAGACAGAGGACCCGTTTGATAGTGGTAGAAGGAAATCTCGATTGACAGCGCTACCGCGACGAGATCATCGGCCCTATTGTTCTACCGTTTTTGCGTCGTCATGGCCCAGGCATAACCTTTCAACATGACAACGCCCGGCCTCATATTGCTCGACTTGTTCAGGATTCTCTTCAACAAAACAACGTGAATGTCATCCCCTGGCCGGCTCGCTCCCCTGATCTCTCACCAATCGAGGACATGTGGGATGAGATGGATTGGCGCCTTCGACGTCAACCACGTGTTCCACAGACACTCCAGGAACTTCCAGACATGCTCCAGCAGATATGTACAGATATCCCACAGGACTTTGTGCGACGCCTGGTCCATTCCATGAGACGAAGATGTGTTGCTTTAATCGCATCCAGAGGTGGACACACACGCTATTGATTTGTAAATTGACATTTTGGCATGTTCATGTTGTTTTTTTTATGAAATCACGCATTTTCTGAAGTCAGTATGGCACTTACAGGAGTATTTTATCTGTTGCAAACCGAAATTGTTTCAGATTTGGTAAAAAACATAACTTTGCATTAAATCTTATTCAATGTCACAGGAACTTTTGTTGTTCGGTATATCTACGAATATTGATCTATCAGGGACCACAACAGAGGCCCGTTCAGGTGACCCACTGATCAGTGGTAGTAAGTATTCATGGAATGAGGATAATAGGTATATATTCATTGAAATGTTAGCATCTCTCAATGAAGAATTGGAGGATGTGGTACACATAGCCTCACCAGACATTGATTACGGGATTAAACTGTTCACAGATATCTTATTGCGATCAGTTGATTGTATCAAGCGTTGTGTAAGACCATTTGCAGGTTTTAAAGATTGGTATGATGCTAAATGTGAATGTTAAAAAACAGAGATGTCATTATCTCAATGTATTTTGTAAATATAAAGACAAAGTGTCTCTTCAGAGCTATATTGCTGCAAGAAATACGTATAAAGCTGTATGTAGGAATGCGAAAAGTTCTTTCGAGATTAAACGTCAATCTGAATTGATAGATTCAATGAAGGATAATTTGGCACAAAGTTCAAGCTTTATCAGGTACTAGTAAGGATAAAAATAACATAAATTCAGAGTATTTTAAAAACCTGTTCAGCATTGCAGAGTCAGACATATCTACTTTTTTTATGAAGACGATACACACACCTTGAATACTGAAAGTGTACGGATGAGTAACGGATGAGTATACTGGTACTAATTGGGTTAAATCTGCCACTGATGATATATTTAATGCCCCTATCAGCAGTGAGAAAATACAAAACAATATTCGTAAGTTGTAATGTAATAAAGTAGCTGGAACAGATTTTGTAATAAGTGAAATGTTTCAGTGTTCAGATAGTATCCTTGTTCCATATTTACTTGTATTGTTCAATTCTCTATATGATTAAGAAGTTTTTCCTTCGGAATGGTAAAAAACAATCATTGTTCCATTGCATAAAAAGGGTGATAAGAAAAATGTTGATAACTATCGGGGAATATCTGTACTGAGTTGTTTTGGAAAATTATATCCCATGATTCTTAATGGCAGATTAACGTTTTGGTCAGATGCAATGGGAAACATTTATGAAGAACAAGCAGGATTTAGAGCTGGATATTCAACAATGGACAATGTTTTCATTTTACAAGCTTTAATTACAAAATGGGTCTTACCACGCGAGTTGCATCGAGTTACTTGAGCACCTTGATTAAAGACATGAATATATTTGGAATTCTGTCAACGCCGAGTTGGCGGTACACATTGCTTTGTAAATCCCGAGTAGAACCGGATGTCGATTTCGTTACGAGATTTTGATTGGACTATGCATAGACTCGTTAGTCCAGCCAAATAGAACTCCGAAAACCCAGCCTAGTTCGGCAAGGGTGGAAACTGGAATTTTATAGTCGGTCAACTCCCTTGCCTCGGGAAGATGCCAATAACCACAGTCAAATCAACGGTAGAAAGCTATCTTCTGTCTGTGGAGCATTCATATTTAAAAACTACCCGGCACGGAGGTGTACGGTGAAAAAAACCTTCTAATTATCCCCCGTTTGTCACAAGAAAATATACTGATTTCTTTCCTTTTTGTCTCTTGTGTTTCCACGAGAAACTAATACTAACAAGGCACACAAACAATAACAGCAAGCAACAAGTAGCACATTTAATTCCTTATCACTATAGGTAAACAAATAAACAGCAAGCAACAAGTAGCACATTTAATTCCTTATCACTATAGGTAAACACATAAACAGCAAGCAACCAAAATTGTAAACATATAGAAAGTGTGTTCTGTGTTGTGATTGGCTAATTTGGGTCACATGACCAAATGTCAAAGGGTGAAAATATGATTTGCATTCCCTGAAGCAAGCGACCGAATCACTGTGTAGGAATACATAATTACTCAGCATTTTTTGCATACTAATTAACAATGGACGCAAATTGAAATACAAAATTAACATTCATAACACATATTTTGATTTTCTCTATTCGTGGGAATTATTGGGATTTTAAATTTTTAATTAAAATTTTTTACAATGAAATAATTACCAAAATCACAATCACCATAGCGACTAACGCGCTCCTGGCGAATCCTCAGATAACACTGTTCTGTATATCAAACCGCATAAAAAAAATTCAAAGACCAAGCCAATTCTTCAAGAAATGTGTGCATATAATTTAACGAAAAATAATATCGATTTTGGTTAAGTTATATCGTCAGTTTTAGTTTTAAAATAAAATCAAACGGCTATTCATGGACACTATTTATATGAACTTATAATATTGACTATTACACTTCCTAGAAATACATACAAGATGAAATGTAAATGTACCTGTCACATGTACACTTGTTCAAATTAAAGAAATATCGTATACGACACTATAAACTTATCAACTTCATATGTGAACATTGTTCAAACAAACAGGAGATTATCAAACGTTCATATATGTTGTGGCCTATATCTACGTATGATATCATATTGAACATTGATTAATATCCAAAGTGAAATTAATTGTGTGAAAAAAATGTACAAAAGATATGAAAGATCTACATCATGAAACAGTAAAAAAGCAGTTAACAATGATCGTGTGTGTACTTTCATTCAAGGACCTTCACCTCAGAGAAATTACCAAATATGTACAACAAATATGTTGAAGTTTGACATCACTACCGGTGACCGAATTTTACAAAATGGCGTGTTGACTGTCAACAGTGCGCGGGATTTTACGAGGGGACTTTCGTTGATTCAGGGTTCGTATATACATAAATGTGACATGTAAGTAATCAGAAACATTCTGACAATCTGTGTACTGTTTTTTGCTGTTGTATTTTTATTGAAACCAACGAAAATAGTCAGAAATTCTGATAAATGCCGTTGTCGTTGTGCTTGATTTTGCGTCAGTCATGGCGTCACACAGGACGGGAACTTCGACAAGTTCTGTTGAAAATATCAAATTATTGCAATGTATATATGTTTAATTCCCTAATTCTTCCTACGATTCTCTTCCCGTGTATATTCTGAAAATGCAGATCTCGAGCCAATGTACTCAACGAATAGACGAATGGCTTTGTTTACATTTCCATCAAGTGCAGTTTTTTCAGCGTTCGTTTTCACACCTCATTTATTTTGCTTCATTACATTTAGACAATTTGTATTGGTGACAAAGACCATTTGGCATTTGATTCTAAAATGTATGAGGAATTCAAGGATGTAGGTATCGCAGCTGAAATATACGTGATGATATTTGCGTCTCATTACCGGTGTTCGTTAATTACCAAAATCACAATCACCATAGCAGCGACAGAACGTCCGATGTTGACGCCTCACAACCGAGTAAGTACGAGGTGTTAAAGAGTGCGCATGTTTTTTTCTAAATAAAACAATAGGTTTACAATATCGATAAATATTATGTGTGTGTCTATTTCCGGGATTTTATCGAGTATTTGCATCTTGGAAATTTTCATTCGAGCCCCACAAGCTAACGCTTTCGGGTCTCGAGATGAATTTTCAAGATGCAAATACTCGATAAAATCCCGGAAATAGACACACACATAGTATTTATCTTCTAAGTAGCACATTTAATTCCTTATCACTATAGGTAAACACATAAACAGCAATGAGTTCTTTAGCGTCGCCCATGAAATACAACGCATGATGATTTAAACTGAGAGCAGCTTTACTTTATATGACCGAGGAATAATATATTTGCTCTACATAGATATTTACTGGAAAGGAGTGGTCCTCATCCGGCCCCTCGGAGTGACTCTACCATGGACGAAGCCGCAGACAACATGGCGAGGGAGGACAGTCTTTTGGACCTCTATATGGAATCTGTAGACTGTGTTTGCCAGTCTACTGCCTGTCTACGCTGAATTTGTAGACAGTGTCTGCTTGTCTACTGGGTGTCTACACTGAATCTGTAGACGGTTGTCTGTCTGTAGGTCTCGCCGGGTCGGAGGATCGTACTGGGGAAACTGGGCTGAAACAATGTCTCTTGCAATAAAGTCTCTCGACATTGGCAAATTTGGCACGAGGATAAATGATGAAATGAAGCTGCTCGTTTGGGTGACCTCCCTTGATTTTATCACTTCCTCACCTGAATAAACATCTTAAAGAATATGTACATCTTCCCTGCCAGGACTCCGCCATATGGGTACACATGGGTCACGTGGGTCACGTACAATACCGCTTTGTAGCGTAGTTGTCGAGATAGCAAAATAGTATTTATGCCCCAAAAAGGTGTGTTGTGAGTATTTTATGTCTGTTTCAGGTGCTTCCATCAACTGTGCTACAAAATGCTTCAAGTCTGTGTTACATTTCAGGATATGGCGTTGACTCACCTGATTCACACTGTCCGGGTGATGCTGGGCTTCAAGGCGATTGCGTTGACTCACCTGATTCACACTGTCCGGGTGATGCTGGGCTTCAAGGCGATTGCGTTGACTCACCTGATTCACACTGTCCGGGTGATGCTGGGCTTCAAGACAATTGCGTTGACTCACCTGATTCACACTGTCCGGGTGATGCTGGGCTTCAAGGCGATTGCGTTGACTCACCTGATTCACACTGTCCGGGTGATGCTGGGCTGCAAGACAATTGCGTTGACTCACCTGATTCACACTGTCCGGGTGATGCTGGGCATCAAGGCGATTGCGTTGACTCACCTGATTCATACTGTCCGGGTGATGCTGGGCTTCAAGGCGATTGCGTTGACTCACCTGATTCACACTGTCCGGGTGATGCTGGGCTTCAAGGCAAACGCCTGCAAACTTCCCATAGGTGGCGCCACCTTTGCCTTTGCCCTTGGCATCCAGATAGTAGCTGGTGTAGAATAAGACAGAGGGTTCTGTTGTGGACATTTCGAGGACACGGCCTGATGGGGGATGCTCCACTCTGTAAATGAGGAGAAACAAGGCAAGTGGCTGGACACGGTGGGAAACTGAAGCATGTTGGATTCCTACTGAGCAGGACATATTTGTCCATCCTGCTGATTGCCTAGTTCACCATGTGACGTGAAGCTCGGAGATACAAAACGTCACGCCCACCCTGCTACGTGAAGCTCTGAGATACAAATGTCACGCTCACCACGTGACTAACGTTATTCCCACCTTGCCACGTGTTTCAGGGTCCCCGAATCCTCCAAGTTATAGCTGACAGTGTATCCTGTTCCACCCGGAACTGACGTCATGTCATCTCCCAGCCGCACCGGGCTCCGCAGGTCGTAAGGGGTTTCAGCAACATCTTTTAGCTCACCTAAAACGGGAACTATGATAATATGAATCTACGAATAAAATGTGAGCATTCATTGAGTGTACACTACACTAGAGTGAAGAGAACATTCAAATGAAATTGCGCTACTATATCCCCCATAGTGGTCAGGGAGTAAAGGAGTCAATGTAAGTTTATGCCGCTGTCATGTAATTCTGGCAACATGAAAATAATATGACACCACACCAGATTAGCGCGACCGCCGAGGTCACCTCACCTGTTGGTATGAGATCGTCGTCGAGGACGGCGTAGGCATCAGAGTTGATTGTGACAACGTGGTCGTCAATGTGGCCTGCAGACTGACGAGGAAAGAACTGTTACAAACCTGTCGGCGAACATCACGTGTTGTATATCAGGAGGCAAGCGGGGGAGTTAACATCAACGATTAGCTCATCGTTATCGGAGGCCGGTCAGTTGATATTTGGTTGGAGGGTCGGGGATGCTGTTAACCTTTGTTAAAATACTAATAAATACTACATAAATAGCATCAATGACGCTGCGCTGACTGATACCTGACAAACAACTTCCAGGTTGAGGGGGGACCAAGTAGAGGACTTCTAGAGACTAGGGATAACAAAGCTGGAGCATCTTGGACAAAGTATATCAAACTCAAAGGAGGTCATACTAAAAAAATAAGCTCAGGCCATGTTGGTTTACCCTCGTATAAAACTAAACAATACCCCGAGGGTTATACAACTTGTTTACGTGTTCTCAATCCGATTCACCTTTGTGAATAAATTGTTTAAATTATTCGGCTGCTAAGATGAGGATATTTAAGGTGTGAACTCTTACATGTCCGGCCATGTTGAAGTAGGCGTGGTTTGTGAGGTTGATGGGCGTGGTCTTGGTGGTGCGAGCCTCGTACTGAATGAACAGTTGATTGTCATCCGTCAGCTCATACGTCACAGTTGTTGTCACCACTCCCGGGAAGCCCTCCTCACCGTCGTCGCTGACGTATCTCAGTTGAAGTTTCTTACCGTCCACGACATCGGCGGTCCACACGACTTCGTCAAAGCCTTTCACGCCGCCGTGTAAGAAATGCGACCCGTGGTTGGCTGCGAGGTTGTAAGTTTTACCATCCATTGAGAATTTAGCTTCCTTGATGCGATTAGCAAATCGTCCAATGACAGAGCCGAGGCAAAAGATTGCGTTGTTTTCGTAGCCTGGCAATAGGAATATAAGATATAGATTCCTACGAAATACAAAGTTGATCTCTTTAACACATTTATAATGAGAAAATATTGAGTTTTGCTCAATCCAGAGATGTTTTGTTTGTTTGTTGTTTTAGGCCGCAATCGACCATATTCCAGCTATCTGACGGCGGTCCAGACAATCCAGTGATTGACATCATGAGCATCGATCCACGCAATTAGGATACGATGTCATGCATCAACCAGGTCTGACAAACCGATCCCATTAGTCGCCTGTTACGACAAGCATAGTCGCCTCTTACGGCAAGTCCTGGGTTGCTGAAGACCTATTCTACCCCGGATCTTCAGGGGTCCAATCAAGAGGTGAGACAAACATGGATGTGGTAATGTCGCATGAGTAATACGTCATCACTTATTCTGAGTAATTTTCGACGTTTATTTCATGGTTTATCTCAAGTTAGTTTATATCAAGGATTCGCATAACGTCATCGTTTCTACAGAGGCGATATGTCATTCCACTATTCCGAAGACGTGGGTTTAATCTCCTAGGTGGACGAGGGCCCGCAGTGGTTTATAACGACAGTGTGTAGCGGAATCCATGTGTTTAGGTTCGTCTGGCAACATGCGTCATGTCACTACCGACCTCGAATGTCGTCGAAGCCGAGACTGATGTCGTCAACGTTGCCGTGTTTGTCTGGAACCAGGATGTCAGTGACGGTGGCGCCGTAGTTCAAGACGCGGACAAGGACGTTGTTGTTGTTTGTCAGGGTGTATCTGGCGGACAAGCAAATGTTATGAAAGCGTTTTTACGTCTACTTATAAAGTCATGGGTGAGTACTTCTAGTGGTTTTAGCTTTACGAAAATATATGTGATGTATGCAGATTTGCAATAGTCCAGCACTATGACGCCATGAACACTGGGAATTGGCCCATGTGTCACCACTCCGCCACCACACCCCCTCATTTGGAACTGGTGGCGAATGAGGAATGCAAGAAGTGTAATCTGTTTTCTGTAAACAGCAACACAAAATATACAGCTGGATAAAAGAAAGTATACACCAATGTTTGGTGGTGACTAAAAATGGCAAGAAATGGTCTTCATTGGTGATGTATTTGATACGGGTATCATGGCGATATCACATGCATCATAGCAATGAGTATCTCACAACAGGTCACGTGCACATGACGTCACAAGGAATATGGGGTCGCAATGTTTTCAGTACACAGTACTGAGCAGAGTCAAGTGTGATTTTCCAAGTGTCTGCTTTCTCTTGCCCGGCGGCAGTTTATATAATGGCACTGTACATATTTATATATAACGATGTTTAGGGGTTTAGAGATTGTTTTTCTTCGTATAAGAGACCTGTTTTTTACGTCACATTTAAATTCAACCTATGAATTGAAAGTTAGACAAGTTAGGTTTTAACCCCGAATAATGTTACAAAATGTTTGAGAATAAATCGCCAAAACACAACCAAACAATTTGCTGAGCAAAGCACGTGCTACATTACCTAGATCAGTGGAACTTGAGTTTGAAGTGAAACCTTTGCTGCACTTGCAGCATGCCAGCCTACAAAGATATCAGTATTAAAGGAACGATGTGCTGTTCATTCACACCCAAACCGTGGGACAGTGACAGTGCTGAGATTAACGCTACATGATTTTGGCTGTAGACGAATGACAGTCACCAGGCTGGTGGTCCGTTCGAGACACACTGGACGGACGGGAGACATGCCTAAGAGTGGCAGACCTCCTGTGGTCCGTTCGAGGCACACTGGACGGACGGGAGACATGCCTAGGAGTGGCAGACCTCCTGTGGTCCGTTAGAGGCACACTGGACAGACGGGAGACATGCCTAGGAGTGGCAGACCTCCTGTGGTCCGTTCGAGGCACACTGGACGGACGGGAGACATGCCTAGGAGTGGCAGACCTCCTGTGGTCCGTTCGAGGCACACTGGACAGACGGGAGACATGCCTAGGAGTGGCAGACCTCCTGTGGTCCGTTCGAGGCACACTGGACGGACGGGAGACATGCCTAGGAGTGGCAGACCTCCTGTGGTCCGTTCGAGGCACACTGGACGGACGGGAGACATGCCTAGGAGTGGCAGACCTCCTGTCACCACCACCCAGCGAAACGCTTCATTAGCATCCTCCAGCTGAGGAATCATACTACCACGGTGACGTCATCCGTTGCGACAGTCATCTTACAATGTCCAGAAGACTGTATCGGTACCATACGAGTGCTTACAGACCACGGTGACGTCATCCGTTGCGACAGTCATCCTACAATGTCCAGAAGACTGTATCGGTACCATACGAGTGCTTACAGACCACGGTGACGTCATCCATTGCGACAGTCATCCTACAATGTCCAGAAGACTGTATCGGTACCATACGAGTGCTTACAGACCACGGTGACGTCATCCATTGCGACAGTCATCCTACAATGTCCAGAAGACTGTATCGGTACCATACGAGTGCTTACAGACCACGGTGACGTCATCCGTTGCGACAGTCATCCTACAATGTCCAGAAGACTGTATCGGTACCATACGAGTGCTTACAGACCACGGTGACGTCATCCATTGCGACAGTCATCCTACAATGTCCAGAAGAC